TTCTCATTTATAATCAGAAATATACAGCCAGTTTAATCCATTCAAATGAACACATATATTCAGCCTGATCCTTAAAGGACAGTCAAGATCAGTTTACTGTATGTGTTGCAAATAGACAAAGGAAGATTTACTGCAGATGTTTTTTACCCAGCATATTGGAGAAACCTTACAAAATGTGTACAAAAAAAAAACAAAAAACAGGGAGTTATTAGATGCTCAAAAGATCTACAACTGATAGTTGAACCCCAAAGCAATAGCCTGATGTAAAGGAAATAAAAAACTTAAAATAGAAATCGTGCGTAAGTAGCCCATCTCTACTGTTGATCACTTCAAAAGTTTATTTACACAGGCTTGAGGGGAGTTTTTTGTTCACAGGTGGAGAAGATGGCTTTTCAAAGCTACAACAACAGCACTGTTCTGAAAATTTAGAGCTACTTTTAAAATAAGCACTTGGAGTAAGTGGCTGCCTCACTGAAAACAGCTGAACCACATGGCCCTGATCCTGCAGAGTGCTTCAGCTGCCCTCTACTGGAGTAAGCTTCCCTAAACAGGTCTTTAAAAAAAACAAAAAAAAAACGCTTCAGTCTATTTGTTTTTCCTTCAGTGTTTAACAAACACATTCTATATAATTTATGCCTTCAAATTCAAATGAAAAAACATATACATTCTAAATGCTGTAGCTTAACACTTAAGATTTAACGCTTTAATACTTTATGTTTTCATATTTTGTTCTCACAAATGGTAATTTCTAAACAAATGTCGTGTTCTTATTATTTTCCTTTCTACCACCTTGCAGTGTTTCTAACATGTATAGCCTATAGAACGGTACCTATGAGTAAACATTTGAGTCTTCTCTGGTACACAGGTGGGGCTCCCTACACTGAAACACCTGTAATGCGCTGACAGACGATTTCTTTTGAAGATTTTTTACAGAAATGTAACAAATTAAAATCTGAATTAAAACCTGGAAGGTATAATTTCATCACAAATTTAGTTTCCCTCTAATTGCAGAGCAGGTCCAACCAGTCAGCAAGGGAAATGAAAGTGGTGGTACCAGCATAAAGAGAGTAATTAGCTGCTCCTGCTGCACTGCTAAATTACATATTATATTTATGATGGCTGAAATGAACATATCTAACCCTTTCCTGTTATTATGCAAAATTATTTTTAAACCAAAGATACTAGCTGCACATCTGTGTACTTTCTCAAACTAACTCAAACTTACAAGGTGTTATGTCTTTTTTTTATCATTATTATTTGTTGTATCCTGTTTTGCCAATATAGCCTTGGATGCCCAAAAGCTAGAAGCACAACAGATTTGCTTTCACAAGCAGACCTTTATAACTGTTGCTTTAAGTTTCAGCTTGGTACCTGTGTATGAAACTTTATTAAAAATCATTTATGAAACGGAGACAGAAAGGAGAGGAAAAAACGAGCGGATAAGAAGTAAGGAGAGAGAGAAAGAGATGGAGACAGGAACAAACACATGGACGCAAACAAAACAGCAAAAATAGAATATATTCATGTATCTTCATGTAAGTATTTAAGTATGTTTTCACACCCGTATGAGACGAGAGGAACAGAAAACAGAGAGCCTAACAGCAGCAAAAAGAAGACATCAGAAAAACAAAGTAAACATAAAAAAAAGCTTCCAGAGCAGCAGGTATCCCTTAGATATCCATGTATGTGGAAGGCAAAACCTACCGTGATTACACAATATTAATCAGGGTGGTATATATCTGTAGTTTAAGCTTAGTATTTAGTAATATAGTGTATCCTTGAACACCTGATACCAAACTCCCATGGCATTGGCATGTTCAATCAATAAAAAAATGTGGGTAGCACTCAGTGGGTAGCACGATTTTTGGATGCAATCCATAAATGTGAACATACAACGGAAAAGTTTAAGTAAACATGTGAATGTTTGTGGACTAGGATTTATTTATTACATTTTTTTCAACATAATTGATAAGGAGTTTACGAATTTAAGGAAAATGAAGAGAGGAAAAAAAAAGGGAGAATGTCAAAGAGGGCAATCACCAGCTTCATAAAAGGCAATCAGGAAAGAAATGTGACTGTCATCAAATTTTGTGTAAAAGATTAACATTGAATTAGTAATAACTGGTTTCAACCTGGAATTTCTAGGAATCTCCAGCGCTATTCATTTAAAGTGAGGTATTATTCTCATATTTTCTTTCTTAATGTTCTTTCAATGTGTACTAGATACTATTTCTTTTTTGTGTTTGAAAGAATTTAATTTCAATTCTGACATTTAACAATTCCAAGAACAGCAGGGATTATAACCCAAATTAGCCACCCCATGCCTATTGTTCCCAACAATGGACCATTGTCCATATGAAGCTCACACTGCCATACCGTGCAAAGCCTGAAGTTGTGACAATCAAGGTGTGAGAAATGTTGATACCTGAATATTTTATATTCCCTGTCTGCAGTTGCATATTGGGGGCCTTTTGGACACCACAATTAATAGGTTGGAAGGTGGATTTTGAACAGTATGTAGAGTAATCAGAGATTATTTAGAACAATTCTAACAATTGAATTTCTCAAGAGAACGAGGCTTTTGAGTGCCGATGAAAGACTAATACATCGTCTGCATAAAGACTGATTTTAGGGTTCTATGTTCCTGCATTTAATAGCTTTAATATCATTGCTTTGCCAGATTGCTGCAAGGACTGGTTCAAGAAAGATAGCAAACAATAAGGGATAGAGCGGACATCTTTGCCTAGTGCCCCTCTGCAGATTAAAACTAGAAGTTTAATTATTTGTTCTAATTCATGCGATTGTTGAGCTGAATAATATTTTTAACAAATTTAATGAACCATCACCAAAGCCAAATGTACGTAAAGATGCAAAAAAATATGTCTAATTAACTCTATCAAAGTTGTTCTTTCTGTGTCTGGTGATTTGTAGGTTTTTGATACTTTCACTGTAGGAGTAGCCTATTAGTTTATTAATCTGCACACATTTGTAGCTGCATGTTATCCCTTTATGAAGCCATTTTGATCTCAATGGATAAAACAAGGAGTTAATTTTTCTAAACGTTTGGCAAGAGCTTTACAAAGCTCAACACTAATCAAAGATATGGGTCGATATTAAGTTGTGTTGTGTCTTTTAACATTCTTCGAAGAAACCTTTTCTTTTTAAGCAAACAATCCCTCAAAATCAAACCTTCAGGAAACCCAGATAATTAAACAGACACGGAGAGGAATAATTGGTTTGCTGGAATGTGTAACTGTGACATATGTTGTACAGGGTGTAAGACCTGCTGTACCTTTCCTCCTCCTCATAGTCCTGCAGCTGCTGTGCGATCTGCCTCATTTGCTCCTTGCGGACATAATCCCTGACCCGGTACATGGCGGCATCGCGGCAAAGCTCCCGGAGGTCACTGCCAGAGTATCCTTCGGTCTTCTCAGCAATCTCTTTCAGATTTATGGCATTACTAAGCTGTGCAAAACAACAAGGACAATCGCTTTGTTGAAAATGACACACAATTTTTCACTTAGTCGCCATTAGGCTGTATTTTTGATTGTCAATCAAACTCAGAAGGCTAAGGCTTGCTGCGATTTATTTTATGGGGACTGGAAAAGAAAATAGAGTAGTGACAGAGTGACTGGCATGCTGAATTAGGTTTTCTGCAGGTGACAAGCAGGGGAGAAATGACAGCTTACATTTTCTCCTGCTAGAACCAGCCGGAGGATGTCTTCTCTTTGCCTTGTATTCTGCAGTGACAGAAGCAAAGTATCAGTTATGGGTTATAAGGAGAAATTTGTATCAATTGAATTAAACAAGTAAAACTTGTTGACAGATGGTGTCATCAAAGCAAACAGTGGTGTGCAAAAGTCATTTCACCCCTTATTGTTTTAAAAGAAATTGTAAACTTATAAACCCAAACATTTTTAAATGTGATAAATCAACACAAGGCAGAACTTAGTTGTCTGAAAGGGGTCACAGAATGCAAAGCCAATGTTTACATTCTCATAGATGAATAATGATACTTCAGTGGGAGAATGGATGTAAAGAGGAGTTCAAACCTCATCGACACCTCCTTTCTCTGAAAACCTCACAATTCTGAACTTCCACCATAAAACGGGCGAATTCCAACGAAGCATCGAGTTGGCCTAAACTCTGGGATGTTGCCTTATTTGGTTCTGGCCTGTACTTTTGTCATCCCCTGGGGGGGGGGCGGGTATGAAGTGTCGACTGCTTGGTCGCTGACTGGACTGGAGCTCAGCAGAGAGCTCAGGGGGAAGCACAGTACCGCCTGTGTCCAGGCTACCATCACTGGGTCGGGTTTGTTCACTCTGTCCCCGCTGGCTCCTGCCCCCCTCCGCCGGGGTTCCTGGACCAGGCCCGTAGCTCACGGCTCGTTTCTGCTGCTCTGTAGTCGACCATAATCCTGGACGATTTTGAAATTACCCCCAGACATTTTTGTAGGTATGAAAAGTACGACATGTTTGGGAAAAAGAGGACGTCTGGTCACCCTACTATCAACAATTTGATGTTTCAGTGAGTGAGTGCTTGTTGCTATGATGCGTCTTTGCTCAGTAGCTTCACGCATTGTAAACCAACCAATCAGTGCACAGCTCCTCTAAATATTCATGAGCATACCATAAAAGGAAGAAAACCTGTAATTTCATTCTGGGGCTTTTAACCAGGCTTGCATTAGCGCTCATAGAAAAGCAAATAGGCCATTTTCAGCCCAACCAATGTTACACACCTGATTCAGCTACATTAAGGACGAGCACCACATACCCTATATAATCATTCTATGACCCATTGAAGGAATGTAATATGTTTGCCTCAGATGTTCAAAACATTTACTCTGGTGTTCAGCTGCAAAACCATCCTGGAGTGAGTCATCACCTGGGCTATTGCCATTAACAATTTAATTATTGATGATATGGGTCGATTTTTCAGTGCTTAGTCCCAGTTCTCTCCTAAGAAGGAATTGTCCATGTGAGTCTCAACATATTTAGACCATTAGAAATTAAATTACCGGTAGTAGACATTTTGTATAGCAAGAAATAGGGATGCACGATATTGGGATTTTGGCCGATATCCGATATTTAAAAACTCATGTAGCCGATAACTGATATCGATACCGATATTAAAGCTGGACAAAAATAAGTAGTCATTGAAAATAGCTGTTTTATTATCCATTTCTGACACTTTGAAAAATAATATACTCAAATATATTTCCATATGCTGATATCAAATAGATTTTTAAAAACG